TGACTTGGGGATGCCTGGGGTTCTTAAGTTGAATCTGTATGTAAGTCAGAACTGGTGTCCAGATTCAGCCACTGTTGAAACTGATCAGTTTCAGCAGCGGCTGAATCTGGACGCCAGTTCCGACTTACATACAGATTCAACTTAAGAACAAACCTACAGTCCCTATCTTGTACGTAACCCGGGGACTGCCTGTACTTGCAGATATAAAGTTAAGTACATATTCAAGACTTTACAGGTTTGAGGCCATAAGTTTCAAAACAAGGAGTAGAGGCCATAAGCTGCAAAACCAAAACATGGTCTAAAATACACTTATAGAGTTTCTGATTTCCTATTGTTTGTTTGTATAATTAAGCATCTGATACATATACCATCATGTGTTGTCAATGTAATTTAGGCCTATATTTTGTAAAAGTTAGCTCATAAAAGAAAAAGTCCACTGACATCTCGTTCTACTCTGGGAAAAAAACTTTAAAAACTATCCTGGATATAAGAACAGCCATACCTGGTCAAACCAAAGGTCCATCTAGCCCAATATCCTGCCTTCCAACAGTGGCTAATGCCAGATGCTCCAGAGGAAGTGAACAGAACAGGTAATCATCATGTGATCCCTCTCCTGTCATCCATTTCCAGCCTCTGACAAACGGAGGCTAGGGAAACCATTCCTACCCATCCTGGCTAATAGCCATTGATGGACCTAACCTCTATGATTTGTTTTTTAACTCGGCTACCCCCTAAAGCGTCTGAATTTATCTAGTTCTTTTTTGAACTCTCTTAAAGTCCTGGTCTTCACAACAGCCTCTGGCAAGGAGTTTCACAGGTTGACTGTGTGCTGCGTGAAGAAAAACTTTCTTTTGTTTGTTTAAACCTGCTACCTATTAATTCATTTTGTGACCCCTAGTTCTTTTAGAATGGGTCTACATTGCACCGTAACTCAAAATAAGATACCCAATTTGAGCTATGCAAATGGAATATGTTATTTAAATGCTATTTTGAAATAGCTTATTTCATCATTTGGCTCTGCCTACACAGTGCCAAATTTTGAAATAAAGCGCTATTCCAAAATGTCCCTTACTCCTCGTAGAATGAGGTTTACAGGGACATCGGAACAGCGAGCCCGAAATAATGGGCTTGCTGTGAAGATGCGGGATAGCTATTTCAGGATATGCTAGTATCCCAAAATAGCATTGCAGTGTAGACATATCCTTATTATGGGAACAAGTAAATCATTTTTCCTTATTCAGTTTTTCCACACCAGTCATGATTTTATAGACCTCTATCATATCCCCCTTAATCTCCTCTTTTCTAAGCTAAAAAGTCCCAGTCTTTTTAATCTCTCTTCATATTGAACCCATTGCAAACCCCTAATAATTTTTGTTGCCCTTTTCTGAACCTTTCCAATGCCAATATATCTTTTTTGAGATGAGGCGACCACACCTGTATACAGTATTCAAGATGTGGGCATACCATGGTTTTATAGAGGCAATAAGATATTCTCTGTCTTATTCTCTATCCCTTTTTAAATGATTCCTAATATTCCGTTTGCATTTTTGACTGCCACTGTACATTGAGTCGATGTTTTCAGAGAACTAGCCACAAAGACTCCAAGATCTTTTTCTTGAGTAGTTATAGCTAAATTAGTCCCCATCATATTATATGTATAATTGGGATTATTTTGGATATGCATCTTACTTCTTCCTTTCTAGTTTTTGCTAAAGTTTGGAGTAAAAATGTTTACATGTTTTTGGAGAGAATTCAAAGAAGAGCCACAAGAATGATTAAAAGATTGGAAAACATGTCTTATAGTGACAGACTCAGAGTTCAGTCTGTTTAACTTATGGAAAAGCGGTTATGCAGTGACTTGTTTCCAGTCTGTAAGTGTGATGGACTGACGATATCCTGAACAAACCTTACAAAACTTAGATAAAAGTTACTGAATTAAGTTAAACCTTGTTGAAATTAGAGTTAATACTTTTTGAGTTCACTGCATTACAAGTGCAAATGTGTATGTACTATAGTGAGATTGTATGGAACTTCTTTAATGGAAAGACGAGAGTAATGCAGTCCCTAGAAAGTATGAGGAATTTTAAAGATCTTTTTTAACAATACAACCGAAGTGGGTTTCTTTAAGAAATAGCTTGAGGTGAAGGGAATTCAAATTCTCCTCCTTCAAAGCCAATCTTTTGAAGACATCCCCTATGGAGAGAGATTCTTTGTACACTAACTATCTAGTTCTGAAAACTCTAGTTCAAAGACTCAAACCATATAAGAGAACTGAACATGTTATGAAGGTGCTTGTTCTGTGCTGAAGCTCTGATGAACCTGTAACCATAGGGATGTCTCTAGGATGAGTATTAAAAGACTACACTTGCCAGAAGCCATGTGAGTTGGGATGAACACTGGTAAGCTTATTAGCAAGCATACAGATCTTTTGACTGTTTTTTATGTTTTCTCTGTTAGGTTTCTTACCTTATGGAAAAAAATGGGCTTGTATAGAGAACACAATGTGATAACTAATACGTGTAGCAATTACACTGTTATCTGTCTCTGAAAACAAAGCAAGCTAGTGCCTAGGGCATTGGTCTGTGCAGGGAATGACACAGTGAAGGCAGGGAACTGTTTAGTCTTGGAATGCCCTGGTCAGAAGGGAAAGACTTGTGTTTCCATCAAGAGAGGCAACAAGTGGGGAGCTGAAAGCTGGGAGTGGTTGTCATTGCTGAATTACTGAGAGGAAATACAGGTGCAGCTGGCCTGAACTGTTGGAAGTATGAACTCACAAGGGGAACAGAAATTTGATAACAAGAGGGCTCTTTGACCTAGGGGACATAGTATTACAAGATGCAGTGGCAGAAAGCTGAAACTAAACATAGTCAAACTCAGAAAAAAGTACAAATTTTTAACTCTGAGGGTAATTCACCACTGAAATAACTTACCAAGGCTTGCGATGGATTCTCCAACTCAGAAAATTTTAAAAGCAAGGTTGGATGTTTTTTCCAAAAGATGTGCTTTCATTCAAACAGGAATTAATTCAGGAAGTCCTATATTATACAGGCAGCCAGACTACATGACAACTATGGTTCCTTCTGGCATAGGCACCAATCAAGTGAGTCCCTTAACTACCTTGCTCTTTTGAGTCAGGCTGTTTGAAACTAAGGCCTGGTCTACACTAGAGAGGTAGGTTGCCATAAAGCAGTTGTAAGAGGTAAAATACGCGTTGCTCCTGCTGATGTAAGTCACCCGCTACACCGACTTCATAAGTCCATCTCTGCAAGCAATATAGAACTTAGGGGAAGGTCATCAGGGCAAGGCAGGGCAGTTCTGGGGGAGAGGGGGGTTGACTTATAGAGTTTCTGATTTCCTATTGTTTGTTTGTATAATTAAGCATCTGATACATATACCATCATGTGTTGTCAATGTAATTTAGGCCTATATTTTGTAAAAGTTAGCTCATAAAAGAAAAAGTCCACTGACATCTCGTTCTACTCTGGGAAAAAAACTTTAAAAACTATCCTGGATATAAGAACAGCCATACCTGGTCAAACCAAAGGTCCATCTAGCCCAATATCCTGCCTTCCAACAGTAGCTAATGCCAGATGCTCCAGAGGAAGTGAACAGAACAGGTAATCATCATGTGATCCCTCTCCTGTCATCCATTTCCAGCCTCTGACAAACGGAGGCTAGGGAAACCATTCCTACCCATCCTGGCTAATAGCCATTGATGGACCTAACCTCTATGATTTGTTTTTTAACTCGGCTACCCCCTAAAGCGTCTGAATTTATCTAGTTCTTTTTTGAACTCTCTTAAAGTCCTGGTCTTCACAACAGCCTCTGGCAAGGAGTTTCACAGGTTGACTGTGTGCTGCGTGAAGAAAAACTTTCTTTTGTTTGTTTAAACCTGCTACCTATTAATTCATTTTGTGACCCCTAGTTCTTTTAGAATGGGTCTACACTGCACCGTAACTCAAAATAAGATACCCAATTTGAGCTATGCAAATGGAATATGTTATTTAAATGCTATTTTGAAATAGCTTATTTCATCATTTGGCTCTGCCTACACAGTGCCAAATTTTGAAATAAAGCGCTATTCCAAAATGTCCCTTACTCCTCGTAGAATGAGGTTTACAGGGACATCGGAACAGCGAGCCCGAAATAATGGGCTTGTTGTGAAGATGCGGGATAGCTATTTCGGGATATGCTAGTATCCCAAAATAGCATTGCAGTGTAGACATATCCTTATTATGGGAACAAGTAAATCATTTTTCCTTATTCGGTTTTTCCACACCAGTCATGATTTTATAGACCTCTATCATATCCCCCTTAATCTCCTCTTTTCTAAGCTAAAAAGTCCCAGTCTTTGAATAAGATCCTCCGGAAAAGGGATTTTTTTCTGAAGGATCGGGGCCAGTGTAGACGCTCTTTTCCGGCTTTTTTAAAAGCCGGAAAAAAGCGGCGGACATTTTTATTTAAATGCCGCGGGGGGTATTTAAATCCCCCGTGGATTTCCCTATTACGGCTTCTGAAATTAACATGCCCCTTCCGGAAAAGGGGCCAGTGTAGACGTAGCCCTACAGTAATTACTGCATACTGAATTCAACTTAGGTCGACTTGATTTTGTAGTATATACTCACATCTCTGACTGCTTCATCTGTGTACCCTCTGCCCCTGCTCCTCACAGACACAGCTCTACCAAGGAGAAGACTTCATACATATCTGCCAGGACTATGTGAATTTTACCATATGTGAAGAGGAATAGCTTCCCCATCCTATCGCACAGACCTCATGCCTTTGTTATTATGCACCGCTGTTCTCAGGTGAACACTCTCACCTGCAATTGATGTTTTCCTAGTGGATCCAGCACTTTTCTCACTGCTACTGAAGCGCCTGTCTGTATTTGATGCGTAGTTTCTGTCTAAAGATATAAGCAGAACTATAATAGAAGAGCCTTCCTAAAAGAAATGTACCTTGACAGCAGTAGCAAAGTTAACGCTCTGATTTGCTGTAAAAGTGGAGAACATAATGGGATCTAAATAAAGAACAAAGTAAAGGAGCTTTTTAATCTGAAGTACAGCTCAACCAAGAAAGTTATTCCAGTTGCTACACGGAAAAACAAACAGAGATACATAAAATGATCTTTAACAGTAAGGTCTTATCTGCAGAAAAAAACTTGCCCTAGTAAAGCTGAGTTTTCAATTTGATTTAGCTTATCTGGTACAAATCTCTGTGTAGATACCTCTTATACTGATTTAAACCTGATTTATCAGATTCCTTACCAAATTAAGCTACATCAGTGCAAGACAGGTTTAAACTGAGTGTCCACACAGAAGTTTGCACTGCTTTAACTAAATCAATTAATTAAATGTTGAATATAAACAAAGCCTTAGTGAGAGATCTAGAGAAAAATAAATAGTTACTTCAGAAAGCAAGCCTAAATATCAAGCTTCAAAAGACACATCTCACTAATGGGAGCTTATTTGAGCCACGGTAATAACCCTGAATTGCCAACCTTATATGTTCAAAAAATCATGTTAAGACCCCAAAATTATGCAACTGGCTTAAAAATCAAGAGTTCTCAAAAATGAATGTAGGGTACTTTCTATTTGTCTTCTGATTTATGAGTCTTTAAGGTGCATTTAGTTTCATTTTTGTCAAGCTCTTATCTATAACCATGGGGGTCTAGAAATTTAGTTTTAAAAAACTGAAAGCTGAGCTCTCACACAATCTCTGAATTCCGGAAAGTTTTAAAAAACTGAAAGCTGAGCTCTCATACAATCTCTGAATTCCGGTGGGGCTTTAAGAAAAATAACACTGATATTGTAAGACTTCTGGTAAAATTATGAGTGATGGCAACATTGTATTGGAGGAAATGAAATCAGCATCTGACCACTTCATTTTTTAAAGTCCTGACTGATGTGTTTAAATTTTCAGTCTTAATCACATTTATATAGATTGCACTTTACATTTCCAAACACATACTTTGCTTTACAAAAATAGAACCATGTCGTGATTGACGTCGAAATGAAGGACTTAGCTTTTCCTTGCATGCACTTTCTTTTTCTTGTTGCGGAGTTAAAGCACGTGTAATCGTTTCTCTCTGCATGCTTTCTCTCTCTCTGTCTATTTTTGCTTTCAGTTTTTTTGTTCTCTGTTCTTCTTGCCATTCTTTGGGAGAAAGTTTCATCAAAAAATCTTCATAATATAAACTCTGCACGAGAAGGATTTCGGCATTTGCAATTTCACTACAAAAATACATTAAAGCATACAGTTAATATACTAGATATACAAATAAAATGTAAAGTTTAAATTACATCTACTTAAAATGACATTATCTTAGTCACATATTACAATGGCATTTTTCAAAAGGTAGCTTACTAAGAAATCTTCTCATATCTAGGTCAGGAAGTTCCTCCTCACCATATGGGCTCATACTTACTACAGACACTGCGGTGCAGAACTAAAAAAAGGACCAGTTACAATGATAGCCTTTCTATGAAACAATGAACGTAAGTTCTTTCTGTTGATCTCTAAGGAAAGTGAATGAGAAATTTCTTACCTGATAATTTGCTTTCTGCAAGCCAACTCTCTCTACATTTATCCCTAGCAGGAGGAATTTCTCTACATTTATCCCTTGCAGGAGGAATAACGGTAGTTCAAATTAGGAGCTTTAATTCGAACTACCTAGTCCGTGCTGTGTGTAGCTGCAGGCACGTAGTTCGAACTACGGGCATTTAAAAATGGCGCCCGCCCAGAAACATGCAAATGAAGCCCGGGATATTTAAATCCCGGGCTTCATTTGCAAATTCGAATGCCTACTTTAGCCACCCTAGTTTGAACTAGGGTGGCAGTGTAGACATACCCTGACATACTTACTCACTTCATGGGGGTCAATGGATGTGGGGGACGGACCCAAACTAAGCACCTACACAACAGTTCAATGTGGCAGTGGGTGAACCTCAAAGATGAGTTCCCCCCAGAGTGTTCTTCAGAAGAGGAGAATCGGCACCACTGTTACCATAAAAAGAGGAGTTTATTTGTAACATAAAAGTCTCACCTTTTAATAGCGAAGAGTTCATTAATAGCAGATTTTACATCTGCCACCATTTCCATTTTAGATTTTGTTTCTTGGGCTGCACTAAAAAGTAACATAGAAATATTACAGAGATGTATGTATACAGTTTTTGGTAGAACAAAATATAAACAAACAAACATTAACTATAACAGAAATTCTAACATTTTAAGTGCATCTGTAGAACTCCGGTCATTTTCTTTCAGAAATTCCTCAAATGCAATTGTATCTTCTTCTAGCTTTGCTTCAGCAGAACTGGCCTCTTTCTCTTTTTGCGTTGCTAATTTCTCCAGCTTCTTTATAGTTTGTTTTTTTACTTTTACTGTGTACTAGGAAAACAACAGAATGGGGAAAAGTTACATACAAAATGCTGTCTGAATTTATTTTGCATCTGTATTTCATTATTTCAGGGAGCAAAGTAAATGCCGTAAGATGTGCTCAGAGAAATAGGAATAGTCATCCAAATTCAGACAAGGAGACACAGCATGAATTAATGTCCAAACTACATTATTTCAATGCTAAGATTTAAACATAATGTTAAGAAATGCAAAATAAAAAATCCCATAATTATATTTTCCACCCCCACTGCATATACCAAGTCTGATTCTCCATTGTTCTAAGATCTTTTTATGCTGTTTTGGCACCAGAACAAGACCTTTGAGGCAGCAGAGCTTTCCCCAGGGACTATCCTCAATGTAAGGAAATTCCTCAGGAAATACAGAGCTGGCAGTGTGACTCTGTACTGGTCCCTAACCCAGGGGGCAGAGCTGAAGTGATACTGGAGGCATGCAGCTAAACATAAGTTAAAAGTGAATGGTATGGAAAAACTTGCACTGTCATAGAATCATAGAATTATAGGACTGGAAGGGACCTCAAGAGGTCATCGAGTCCAGCCCCCCGCCCTCAAGGCAGGATCAAGCTCCGTCTACACCATCCCTGACAGATGTCTATCTAACCTGTTCTTAAATATCTCCAGAGAGGGAGATTCCACCACCTCCCTTGGCAATTTATTCCAATATTTGACCACCCTGACAGTTAGGAATTTTTTCCTAATGTCCAATCTAAACCTCCCCTGCTGCACTTTAAGCCCATTACTCCTTGTCCTGTCCTCAGAAACCAAGAGGAACAAATTTTCTCCTTCCTCCTTGTGACACCCTTTTAGATATTTGAAAACCGCTATCATGTCCCCCCTTAATCTTCTTTTTTCCAAACTAAACAAGCCCAGTTCATGAAGCCTGGCTTCATCGGTCATGTTCTCTAAACCTTTAATTATTCTTGTTGCTCTTCTCTGTACCCTTTCCAATTTCTCCACATCTTTCTTGAAATGTGGCGCCCAGAACTGGACACAGTACTCCAGCTGAGGCCTAACTAGTGCAGAGTAGAGCGGCAGAATGACTTCATGAGTTTTGCTTACCACACACCTGTTGATACAACCTAGAATCATATTTGCTTTTTTTGCAACAGTATCACACTGTTGACTCATATTCAACTTGTGGTCCACTATGACCCCTAGATCCCTTTCCGCTATGCTCCTTCTTAGATAGTCGCTTCCCATCTTGTATGTATGGAACTGATTGTTCCTTCTTAAGTGGAGCACTTTGCATTTCTCTTTATTAAACCTCATCCTGTTTACCTCTGACCATTTCTCTAACTTGCTAAGGTCATTTTGAATTATGTCCCTATCCTCCAAAGAAGTTGCAACCCCGCCCAGTTTGGTATCATCTGCAAACTTAATAAGCGTACTCTCTATCCCAATATCTACATCATTGATGAAGATATTGAACAGTACGGGTCCCAAAACAGACCCTTGCAGAACTCCACTTGTTATCCCTTTCCAGCAGGATTTAGCACCGTTAACAAGCTCTTATCAGCTCTTCAAATGTACTGAAGAATTTATGTCTCTTGTTGGTATCAGTTTGGCAAAATTTAAAAACAGCAACCCACCCAAACACTTTTATGAGGATGAATGTAAGTCTTATTCAACTTTTTCCCAAATTCAGGACCAAGTCCTTTAAATACTTACAAAGATGAGTAAAGTTTTACTCATATAAGTATTTCCAGTGACTGAGATGACACAGAATAATCTTACTGTGTTTGCAGGGTCAGACCTGCAGACTAGTGTGGAACTTCAGGCCCAGGTATAATTTTTAAATTATAAAAACTCAGACTTAGAGATAAACAAACATTCTAGTCTAATTACGTGGACTATTTTTATTTCAATTTGTGCATTTTTATAACTTCATTTTTTTTAAATGCCAGCCTTAAGAACAACATTTTAGGGTACCTGCAGCAGAAACAACTCCTTCTGTTCCTTGATATACTCTGTTAATGACTGTTTGTCACTTTGGCAACCTTTCAAGAAAATGTAAATGCTATTAAAATTAATGTTACTATTACTCCTATACATGTTTGTATCTTTTCAGTTTGATATGCAAAAAATGACACAATAAGTCTTACTGGGATTAGTTTAAAAAAATTAATGGATTGAATTTCCCAAAGTTATGATTTTGAAAACAGCACATCAAATAAAACAACAGTTCTTTGCAGCACAGTACTGTGGTCCCCAAACTGTAGGGCACAAGGAATACAGATGACCATTTCAGGGGGAGCACATGGTGGGGCTTAGGTCAGCCCCCAAAGGGGATAGGGAGGGAGTGCCACCCAGCTTCACCCTGTCCTCGCTCCATCCCAGCCCAGCTCTGCCCTCAATCCCTCTCTGCTCTCAGATCAGCTCCACTGTGAACCTCAGCTCCTGCCCCATGCCCAGTTCTGCCCCTTGCTCTGCCTTCAGCCTAAGCTCCTTTGCTGAGGAAGTAATGGGAAGGAGGCACAAACAGATTCCATTACTGGTAATGGGGGCACAGTAGGAAAAGTTTGGTGACCAGTATATTAGTAACAGTCCATGGTGGTGGCAAGAAGAGGAGCAAAGCAAAGCGATGGTTTATCACAAACATTTGCACTTTCTTCAAAACATGGATGCAAGTCTAAATCCCTATCCAGAATCCTGAAAACTGCCCAGCAGTCAGATTCTGCACCTAATCCTTTTCCCTATATGGAGCCCCATGGAAATTCATGTGGTTCTATGCAGGTGCCGGGGTCTAGCTACAGGGATCCAATTACAGAATCTGGTCCTAAATGACAGATTTTAGGGTGCAATTAGATGAAAATCTGTGTCACGGTGAGCAACTCTGACACTGTTTAACAAAATGTTAAGCTAAAAAAGTGTACTCACATTTTGCAAAAGTAAGAGCCCAGTTGGGACTAGAAGTAATATACCCTTTATCTATTGTAGCCCTGGTCTCTCTTTCAATGACTGAGTCCATCTTTTTCATAGAGTCTCGAGACTTTGCTCGTGATGAAAATGTGCTTTTCTCATGGACCTTCAAATTCTGTTGAGCTATTTTATCCTGCATGTACAGATTTTCATGTAAGTGTGTTTATTAATGACACTAATTAGCTCTTTGAGTATAGGGACCTATCTTTCTGTAAAATACCATACATCTATGGCACTGTATAAATAATAACTCAGACAGGGCTCTATTCTGCTAACAGTATTCCATTTATTACCAAGTGCCGTAAAGATCTCTGAGTGCATTAACTTTACAACCCTGAGTAGCTCCTTTGATTTAAATGGAGCCACTTATGGTGGAAATGTCTAGTACATGTGTAAGTCTGCAGGCCTGGGGCTTTAGTCTGCAAGTAATCCCTTTGGTCTTAATGGGACTTCAATATATGTAGAATAAGATATTCATTGTGATCAAGGGTAAAAGAATCTGGCCCTTAGCTTATACACAGTAATGATCATAAAATCAAATAATTGAAATAAGCACTTTGCTGAAGCAGTCCAGAAGAACAGAGTTTCTGTGAATATTCATGTACATTAGAGTTGTATTAGATATACATATTAAGAAACAATGTGAATTGGTCTTTGAAGTACATTGCATTAAAATCGCAAAAAGAATATGCTTTTATACATTTTTATTTATTATTAGAAACATAGACATTAGAGATGAAAAATTAGTAGCTCGTTTCATCAGTGCAAGATTATTCCCTACAATATATTATGTACTATATGCTCCTAACAAATAGGACCTTTGATTTAGAAAGTTATATAGTTAATATCCAGTAAAACATAAGAGTTGTATTTGTGTATTTCTTTGTTTTCTCCTGTGCTAAAACCCCTCCAGTGCATCATTGACAATCTACAACCAATCCTGGAAAACGATTCCTCACTGTCACAGAAAACGGGCTAGTCCTCACCTATAAGCAGCCCCCAACCTATATAAATACTTACCAGCAGCCACATCATCACAGAAACACCTATTCAGGGACCTACCCCTGCAACAAACCCCATTGCCAACTCTGTCCACCTATCTATACAAACAACACCATTACAGGATCTAACCACATAAGCCACATTAGAGGCTCATCTCTCTGCACATCCACTAACATGATATTTGCTATCAAGTGCCAGCAATGCCCCTCTGCTATGTATATTGGCTAATTCAGTCAGCCTCTACACCAAAGGATAAATGGACACAAATCATATATCAGGAATGGTAACACATATAAATCTGGAGAGGTACCCTTTAACCACCCTGGACATTCAGTAATGGATGTGAAAGTATCCATCTGTCTACAAACGAATTTGAAAAACCGGTTATGACCCTGGACATTCAGTAATGGATGTGAAAGTAGCCATCTGTCTACAAAAGAATTTGAAAAACCGGTTATGGGGAAATAGCTGAACTGGAATTAATTTGTAAATTCAATGCTATTAACTCAGGTCCAAGTAAGGATCTCAACTGGTTAACGTATTACAAAGTCAATTTCACCCTCTCTAGATATTCACATCTCCACACCAAATGCTGCGAATGACCCACTTCTAACTTGTTTAGCTTCATTACCCTAACTTGTTTAGCTTCATTAACACAAGCAACTTCTTCCTTATACATACCCTGCTTCTGTAACTTCCACTCCAATTCGTCTGATGAAGTAGGATTTACCCACAAAATCATATGCCCTAATAAATCTCTTAGTCCCTAAAATGCCACAGGACTCCTTGTTGTTTTTGCAAATACAGACTAATAGGGCTACTCCTCTGAGACATAACATTATGTTATAATTTAGAAAGTGTGTCCCTGAATAGGTTCTTTTACATGAAATGTAACTGATTTATGCAAATACATACAGGTTCATCCATGCAGATCTGATGGGAGAAGTGATACTTAATGATATTTGCATGCTATGCTTGAACAGATTAGCGATGACTACATTCCATTCCAGTATAAGTGTATGAGAACTGAATATAATTCTTCAATTAAATGTCAGTTATCAGACTGAAAATTACTTTAAATTGACAGCTAAGGCGGCGCCCAGGAACATGCAAATGAAACCCGGGATATTTAAATCCCAGGCTTCATTTGCAAGTTCGAATGCCTACATTAGCCACCCTTGTTCAAACTAGGATGGCAGTGTATACATACCCTTAGTCTCTAAGGTGCCACAGGACTTCCCATTGTTTTTGCAGATACAGACTAATATGGCTCCCCCTTTAAACTCATGTTACATCCCACAGTGTTTAGCAAATTTGCATTTGTTCTCTGGATTGGTTCCAGAAATTTAGAAATCAGTTTAGTTAAGTCAATGCAATTTCTGAATCAAGATCAGCCCAAAAGCTGTGGGCAGCCCTGATGGGCCAGTGACTTACAATACCTTTGCAATTAGGACACTAGATTAAATGTACCATTCGACATAACTCAAAAAAACCCAATTCTCAGTATTCCTATAGTCTCCTCCTCAATAAGCACATTTCAGATCATTTTGCAAATATTATTGCAGTAAGTCCATGGTGTCCATCATGCTAGCCACTGACCACATGTGGCTATTTGTCCAGTTGAGTGTAGCTAGTTGGTTTGAACAATGTGGCTATTTGGCTGGTCGATTCACTATAGCAGTAGCCACTATAGAGCTTCAGAACTGGTTGGATATCATGGCAGAAAGCCAAAGAACAAACAGTACAGGAAGTACTATGAACCCCATTTTACAGATGAAGCAACTGAGGCACAAAGCTATTACATGACTTACTCAAAGTCACACAGGAAGCCTATGACACAGTCTAATAACACTTGACCCCTTCTCCCCAGTTCTGTGTCTTTCACATTAGAACAGTGTTTCTCAATCTTTTTAAATAAAGTACCCCTTTAAAAAAATTAAAAGTACCCCCAGTACCTACAGTTTCAGACACACACTTTTTTTCTATCATTGCAACACATTTGTTTAAACAACTTAATTGTAGCTGGGGCGGGGGGGCAATGACATTTTTGGGTGTAAAAAGTACAAAAATAACAAAGCAAACAAAACAAAAATTCAGTTTTCTCCATATTTCAGTTGTGTTGACGTACCCCCCCCAGACATCTCTTGAGTACTCCTACTGGTACTCGTACCACTGGCTGAGAAACACAGCACTAGACCATACTTCACCTCCTAAGATGAACATTGTCTACTGGATGACTATGTCTGGGACAGCCTGATTTTTCCACTCTTTTGAAAGCATGTCCTCCTGAAACTATTGCAGAAATATTATATATACACACCCAGCATCAGCAAAGAAATTTAAAATGTGGCATTTACCATCACAAACGTTTTTAACACATTGTACTAAACTGATTTTCTCTCACATTATCCCTAATTTGGTGGGAAACTATTTATCTGCAGACTTTTCACACTTTCATTGTTTTGTTTGGTGAAATGAGTTCCTTTCCCCCATGGGCAGTGGGTATATTAGGTGGGGGAAGGCACTGCCCTCCCAAATCGCCAGCCTGGCCCCACCCATACCTCGCCTCCAGAACACCTACTGTAGGCATACTGAGGGCAGAGTGTTGCTGTCCCCAAGCACCCGCCCTCCCTGTGCTTCAGGGCCTGGGATGCTGGGACCACACGTCACCCACCCTCCCCTGTGATTCAGGATCATACAGGCTCAGGCTGTGCGCCCTCCACCCTCCCTGTGCTCTGAGGCACATGCTGCCCACCCTTCCTGTGTTTCAGGACTTCATGTGCCACCTGCCCTACCCATGCTCCAGGACTGGGTAGGCGGGGGTCATGCACCCTCCTCCCTCCCCACGATGCTGGGGATAGCTTGGCCCATTGGGGGCGGGTCTGGGAGTTTGCCTCCCGCAGCCCTACCTTCACCTACCACCCATGCTTTCTTCCTAAACAGATGAACATGACAGTTATAGGTAAAGTACAGTAAATTAATAACATATGTAGACTTAGCATGGGGTCCTTGCTAATTAAACTCCACATAAACACATACCTTTTCTTTGGCCCTACACTCAATGTCTCTGTAAAGAAATGGTTTGCAGTCCACAATTGTAAAGGGAGTCCTCTTTTCATGATCAGGATCATAGACTATAAATATGAAAGGAAAAAAATTATATTCTGATACCTTTTAGAACACCACTGTGTAAAATTCAGTCCAAAAAAGCTGGTTTAGGGGAACAATAAGCTTGTAATTCAAACCCACCAAACTCTGGAAAGTAGAGTGTGCACTCCTTTGGCACCCTTCATGCTATATTCTCATGTATATATAATTCATAAGCGCTGTACAGCAAATATTACTATTAGAGCATAACAAACCCCCTCTCACAGTTGTTAAGCATTACACAAAACTCACGATGGTGTTTTTTAATTTATTTTTTAAATCTTAATCAAAACATTTTTTTACCAAAATTAATGCACTGAGATCTAGGAGTCTGGGACTGGGATGCTGAAAATAAGGCTGCTGATGCCATCCTTACTTTCTGAAATTCCTTCTGGAACTGCTGAAATAGACAAAATTAAAGGGAAAGCATTATTGTTAGACTAGAAAAACTGATAAAAGCTTGAGCCCAGCTTGTCATTTGGTCAATGCAGAGCCAGACTGAGTATATGTTGAACCTCTCTAGTCTGACAGCATCCGTGGATCAGAGAGTCCTGGAAGGGAGCAGCTGGCAGCAGAGCCCTGGGGCTGCAGAGTCCCAGGGCTGGCTGCAGAGCCCTGGCAGTCCCAGGGCTGGCCCCAGAGCCCAGTGGCTGCATAGCTGGATGCCTGGTGGCCAGGAGCAGGGGAGCCTGATGATCTGCTGGCAGACCCTAGAAGAGCTCAGAGTTCATCAGCAGAGGGGTCAACCTCCCCATATCTGGCAAACTCCCTCATTTGGACCAGTCAGGTCCCAAGGGCACAGAACCAGGGAGGTCCAACCTGTACTAAGGCACATAATTAAACACTAACATGCAGAATTACTGCTTTGGGTTTTACTAAGGCACATAATTAAACACTAACATGCATAATTACTGCTTTGGGTTTTTTGCACATACATGGGTATACATGCAAGTTTTCTGTGAGCACACTATGGAGGCCTGTTTAATGCTGGACCCAAAATATCTGTGGACTAACTGAAGCAGCTTTTACAGTACATATGACTGTGGGGTCTCTCATCAATTTCTATTAGTGTCACTTGAGCCTGCTAGAACACCCAATGAGAAATCCTGGAACAGATCAGGCACATAGGGTGGCATTCACAAAGTTACTCAGCCCTGGTCTACACTGGGGCTTTATTTCAAAATAAACCCCCCTTCAAATTTTTAAATGGAGCATCCACACTACCAAGCCCATTATTTCGAAATCTGTACTCCTGCTTTTCTCTGGGAATAACACTAATTTCAAAAGAGTTATTTCAAAACAGCAACAGTGTGGACATTCCGGTGCTGCTATTTCGAAATAACTACTCCCCAGAGTAATTTGAACCAATTACTCCCCAGGGCTTCCTAGAGCTCTAAATTGAAGTAGCGCATCCACATTAATGGAACCTGCCTTCGACTAATTTTGAGGCTCCCCTGTAGTGGGGACATGCTATTTTGATTTTGTAAAATCAGGAGTTATTAAGTCAAATTTAGTTATTTTGAATTGGTTTCCTAGTGTAGATATGGCTTCAAGTTCCTAACCCTCAGGTTAGGCTTTACTGTGATTCACAAAATTCAAACTCACCTAACCTCATATGACCCCAACATTCTTGCCTCTGAACATGAGCACTGCTACCTCACACTAAGGCTATGTCTACACAGCAACGTTATTTTGGAATAATTGACATTATTCTGAAATAACAGTGCACATCTACACTACAAGCCTTTATTTTGAAATAATGTCAAGATGGAGGACTTCTTACTCCAACTCCTGTAAGAGGAGTAAGGGAAGTTGAAGGAAGAGTGTTCTTCCTTTGACTTCCTGTTGTGTTGACAGCACCAAAAGCCGAATTAAGCTATTTCCACTGAAGCTACACAACTGACGTAGCTGAAGTTGTGTAGCTTAATTTGAGTTTTGCCCTGCTGTGCAGATGTGCCCTAAGTGCCCAGGTTCTTCTCCCACCAAAGCCCCAGAGTGATTCTAAAATGCATACCCCCACTTGTCTTGTGTGAAGGACCTAACCTGGTAGGTGTGCTTAGATGCTGCCTACTAGCTTGGGTCACATTCAAAATCCAGCCAGAGGAGAAGGTGATGGTCTTGCCACCCACTTTCTAATTTTTGGCTCAGTGGCTAGAGATTCAAGCAGGTTGGGGGAGACCCAGATTCAACTTTCTCCTCTGCCTGAGGGGAAGAAAGGATTTAAAGGGTGGGGACTCACATCTCAGGAAAGAGTTCTAACCATTGACCTATGGCATAATCCCCGATCTCTCCTGAAGAAGCAGTTTCCCTGTGGATAAACAGAGTCACTGGAGCACCGGGACCTTGGGTCTCCCATGGGGGTGCCCTAGCCACTAGGCTACAGAGTGAGTCTCACTCTCTCTTTTCCAATGACTCTTTAATTATTTAATCTACAGTGGATTGAACAGGGGAGATTTAGGGTACCCCCATCAGAATATCCCATACCTTGGTGGTTTGACCCCTCTCCTGAGAAGTTGGAGACCCCCTTTCAAATCCTTTCTCCTCATCAGACAAGGCAATTGAACCTGGGTCACCCTCATTGGAGGTGAGTGCTCTAACCACTGGGCTACAAGTTAGAAAGCAGCAGCAGTACTTCCTCCTCCTGCCATGCATGTGCAGCTAGGGTGTGTCTAGACTACAGAGTTTTGTCAACAAAAGTGGACTTTTGTCGACAAAACTATACCTGCATCTACACTACCGCTGAGTTCTGTCGACATAACGTTGACAGAACTCAGCAGTTTTGTCGACGCTGGTAAACCTCATTTTACGAGGCATAACGCCTTTTGTCGACAGAGTTCTGTCGACAGAAGGTGTTATTGCATGTAGGGTTGTGTCTATACTACAGGGTTTTGTCGACAAAGCAGCTTGCTTTGTCGAAAACTGAATGTGTCTAGACGCTCTTTGTCGATAGAAGTTTTGTTGACAGATAATGTCGACAAAACTTCTGTCGACAAAAGCCTGTAGTCTAGACGTACCCTTAGGTACCTATCTAACCCAGTCTCACAATGACAGCGGCTTAAAAAGCCTCCCGACTCAGGAGAGAGGTTTTGGTATGTGAATTGCTAGCAAAAATAAGTGCTCAAGTCCAGCTGCAGGGAGTTGCCTATCTTTGAGAGAGGGACAGGGCTTTGGCTTGTTGGCATCACTCATTGGCTGGCTTAGACAGCTTCCTCCTAAGTAAGCTGGCTTTTCTGGCTCACAGTCTAAAGCAGCTCTCTCTCCTTGGCTACGTCTACACTGGCATGATTTTCCGGAAATGCTTTTAACGGAAGAGTTTTCCGTTAAAAGCATTTTCGGAAAACCGCGTCTAGATTGGCAGGATGCTTTTCCGCAAAAGCACTTTTTGCGGAAAAGCGTCCGGGGCCAATCTAGACGTGATTTTCCGCAAAAAAGTCCCGATCGCCATTTTCGCGATCGGGGCTTTTTTGCAGAAAATAAATCTCTGCTGTCTACACTGGCCCTTTTGCACAAAAGTTTTTCAGAAAAAGACTTTTGCCCGAACGGGAGCAGCATAGTATTTCCGCAAAAGCACTGAAAATCTTACATGAGATCATCAGTGCTTTTGCGGAAATTCAAGCGGCCAGTGTAGACAGCTGGCAAGTTTTTCAGGAAAAGCACCTGCTTTTCCGGAAAAAGTGGCCAGTCTAGACACAGCCCTCGTGTATTGATTAGGGAGACTCAGTGCCTCACTAGGCACCTAAAAAGTAGGCCTTATGACCCTGAGCATCATAATGCTAAAGACCCTTTGTGAATCTAATTCACACTTCTTTAATTCTCAACCAACCCAGCAGCTAATCCTCTTCCTGCTTCATGTGGGAAAGTGTTTACAAAATGTTTGCCCTCACCTCACAGCATGTCTCATCAGAAGTGTGTTGATATTATAATATCTTAATGTTACAAGAAAAAATTGAGAAACTGGAGGAGTTTAGAGACCAGCAACATAAATACTCAGGATAATGGAAAGACCATTGTATAAAAAAAATTAAAAGAACCAAGCAATAACTAAACAGGAGAATGCAATTGTAGTCTACAAACATTTTATGGGCATGCATAAATGATGCAGTGTGATAAATAAGGGTCTTCCTAAAAGTGAAAGGTTGAAATGAAGAAATGGAATATTTAGGATGAATATCAGGAAAATCTTCCGTACAGCAAGATGTGTTGGGCTGTGAAATAGCATATTTGGGACAGTTGTGAAAGCCCAATTGTTCTGCACTTTTAAAAGACTAGACAAAGCACTAGTGTAGGGTTATATAGAACAATCATGCATTAACAGGGAGGTGGGATGGACTATCTAATAAGCCTTGTCCATCGTTTTGAGAATGTTGTAGAATCTTGGAAGATGATTGGCTTGCAAGAAAATATAGTAGACTTCTGATAATCCGGCACCTTTGGGACCTAGGTGGTGCCGGATTATCAGATATGCTGGAGTATCGGAAGGTACTCTGGCGGGGGGCTGTGACAGGTCTGCCGGGGCCCGCACTGCATCCGGGGGGTGGGCGGAGAGGT